TGTGTTTTGTTTTGTTTTGTTTCGTTTGTTTGTTGTTATTGTCACCGTGATGTTGGAAGAGCTTGTTTGGCGCAGTCTTAAGCAGCGCAGAGCTGACCAGAGATTAGTTATGCTGTACAAAATTATAAACAACTTAGTTGATGTAGAAATCTGTAGTGAACTGATACCCTTGACAAGAAACTCAAGAAATAATCACAACAGATCCTTTAAAATTCCTCTCCAGAAAAAAACGTATATACAATACAGCTTTCTACCATGGACAATAAAACAATGAAACAATCTACCCGCTGAATTAGGCCCCGTCCACACGTATCCGCAAATTTTTGTGTCCGCAAATTTTTTTTTTTGAGGATACGGGTTGCGTCCACACGTGTCCGCAAATTTTTGTGTCCGTATCCGCAAATTTTACGAAAACGGATACGTGTGGATGGTGAAAACGACTCGAATACGCTGCGTGTGGACGGAAACATTTTCGTATCCGCAAAAAATAATTTGCGGATACAAAAATTTCCGGATACGTGTGGACAAGGCCTTAATCACAGCCCCAAATGTTAATGCATTTAAAAGTGGGGTCTGTAAATTAGAACACTAACTTTGATCCTGACCTACCCGAGCACTTAAGCCTCGAAGAGAGAGTCGTGCTTGTAATTTGGTAAATGTTAATGTTTGTTTGTTTGTTTGTTTTCTTTCTTTCTTTCTTTCTTTTTTTTATTTATCATTTATTTATTATTTATTTATTTTTTATTTATTTTTATTTATTATTATTATCATTTTTTATTTATTTTTATTGGTTCGGCGATTCGGAATGGCGTATGTTTTAATTGTCCGGAAAATCCTGGCTACGCCCCAGTATTTATTTATATATCGCCATTTTTAAACAAATTAAAGGAGATCATAAAGCTTCGGACGGTAAACTCCAAAACCTGGAATGTGCTTACCAAATTGTTTATTCTTCTTCTTTCAATCAAATGGGATCTTTGAGTAAATATTGCTATGTACAAATATACTTTGTTTATTAGATGAAAGAATAATTGTTTTAAATCCAATCGTTTTAACCGATAAAAACAATCACTGAGCTCTCTTATATTTTATAGCTATGATAATTTACAACAAAGCATCCAAACTTCTAAATCAGGGTTAAACGGTGCCTTTCTTTTTAGTAAAACTTCTATATAACTTTCTCTGTTAAATGTTCTTTTACTTACCTGCATCTGACGTTCTTGGGAAGCTGTTGTTTTGAAAAAAAGCACCTGTTATCAAAGAAGAAAAGATGAAAAGAAAGATCAGACACTTGTATTGAGCTCCTTCCATGCTCAAGTTGTTCTCTTCAATGACGAGCTAATCCGTGTCTGGCGACCGTATAGTTCACGTTAAACACAACTGACACCAAATCGAAACATAATATTCTGGCATTTGATCTCGGTGTATCAGCTAAAAGAAAACGAAAAACCAAGAAGAGATGGATTAGACAAGCTGTTCAGTCAGTGCCTTCAGCTTTCTTATTCGTTTTGGCCGCATAGCTAAGTATGAAGTTATTTAAGAGCAAGCGCGTTTCTTCTTTTGATATTCCGTTTTTTTGCTTCAAGTACATATTTTTCTTTCCTAAGATTTAATGATTAAACCACAAAAAATAATATAAACAATGACCATAGCTTTGTATCCACTAGTGCACCACATTTGCCTAGTAACCAGCCCTATGTTCGTGAAAACACTATAAAAAATAGTGAGATATAAGATAATAGTTAAGACAAATATTCATAAATTCGATGCGAAGTTTCTGTTCATCGAAAGTGCAGCATCCGTTTGATTATTATACAAACATGAAGTATGCCCAAAAAGGGCTATGATGTAGGAGGTGGATTACATATTCAAGATAGCCCTCTTTTGACTTCCTGCTGATTAGCTTCTATTTGTTTAGTGTTTCAGTTTGCATATGGAAAGGTGCTTTATATCCGTTGATTCGCATTAAAGGAGCAAATTGAATTCTAATGTTTGGATTGCCGAATAGGCGACTATAGATTGGGGAAACAAGTTAACGTTATATCATTTTATTTGCAAACCAAGACAAATACAGAATTGTTGTTTTTTTTTTGTTTTTTTTGTTTTTTTCTAAATTAATAAGTAGGCATTTTATAACGGCGGTATCGCAGATTTCAGTTGCTGACTCGTCGTCTCACTTCTCTTGGTGTCACAAACATTGGGCCCACATTTTCTGACATCGGCTCTTTTCCGAATTTTGATGGAAATATTTTTAAAAATAGAGGATATTTGGAATAGCTGGAATAGCTACCATGTGCAGTTAAGATCACTGTTACTTCCTTCCGGAAAAAGCACGATGATTACATACATTATCCTGAATGATGATATATGTCAGATGTAGACATACTGGACACACCAATGCACATTTAATTTTTTACACATTGAAACTTTTGAATTAAGTTACTTATAAGTGAAAACTTCTGATTAAAGCAACGGCTTTTGGCACACTTTTAAGTGCTTTTAAAAACACTCGAGATGTTTGGAAAAAACTGAAAATACAGCATGGCGATCATGCTGAATACATTCAGCAGTTATGGCAATCAAATGATAAAAACAAGGAGGAATAACTCGTAGCTGATTCGATCGATTTTGATGGAATGACAGTCTTTCTTTTGGCAGTCACCTTTGATGGAATAACTTAGCTAATGTGGACTGCAATTATTTAACATATCCATTGTTGAGCTTTTTTGAGAAAGCATGTCTTTCAAAACAACCAATATACAATTAAGGGAATGACAATCTGAAAGTCAAAGCGAATTTTGTAAATTCCTACGTTTTTGTATGTTTCTATTGACCGTAAATCCAAGTATTGATGATAAGTCATGATATCAACAACATACGCATTAGCTGTCGACGGCAAGAACGAAGTGAAGTCCTCTATGAATAGCTTTTGGGAGATTTTCTTTAGATGCAGGGGATTGAAAGATAAACCGTACCCGAACTTCCCTTCGGATAATATATATATATACACTCCAATCAAGGAAGCACGTTAAATTTTTGATTGTGTTGGTTTATCTTCGATTTTATCGCACGTAAGGTAGTGCTCGTTTACGTGCGCGCGCTACACTTTATGGCAGGCGTTCCTTGCTTTATTCGGGCTAGCGAATTTACTCCGAAAACCTGCGAATATCTTGCGAGGAGCGGAGCGACGTGTAAAAGGGAGGGGAGTGAAACAGTATAAAATAAAACAAGGGACCCTTTTAAGCCATTCAAACATTCCAAAATTAAAATATTTTTCGTTCTATCCTGGTAGCAGTATCTATAGAAATAGCTTGCAAAGCAGGCGTTCTTTTGGTTTTGGGGAAAAACCGGGGTTTTTGGGGAACTTTGGAACGAGCGAAAATTGATCATGAAACCGAGCAAAAACCTTAATCGAAACAGGAACTCCAAAACCCCAATTCTTCCTCTCAAACCCATCAAAAGAACGCCTGCTCTGAAGGCTACTATAGAAACGGATTACGTGACAAATCCAAAAAATGGCGTGACACGCCAAAGGAATCTAACAGACACGTAAGATCAAAATAAACAAAATGGCGTCCTTGAGCGAAGAGCAAAAAAAGTTTTTAATCTCGTAGAAAAATGTTTTAGTGTGTTTATTAGTGGAAAATCTGGAAGCTGAAAATCATTTTAATTAGATATATTTTAAAGGAGTTGAGAAAGGGAGCAAAAACTGCTTTGAGCTATATTTATACGAGAGGTTTTACGTCAAGTCAAAAATCTCTTCTTCTGACTTCTTCATGCACGGTTGTTTCTTTTTAGTTATATTCATTTGTGTCTTGTAAATTGAATATGCCTCCGTAGTTTTGGTAGCTTCCCCATTAGATACGGAAAATAGACTAGTGATTATTCTATAGAAAAATTCAAATTTCAAATTGAATTCATGACTGTAACGATTTCAAAAACATTCAAACTAGTGACTAGACAGTTCATCTTGAACATAAACTCATACGCTCATGTTATGTTAATTCATAAATTCAGCTTCAAGTTTCGACAAGGGAGCACGTTAAAAATTTTTTTTGTGCACTCCAGCACTCCAATGCTGAAGTTCTTCCATTTAACCCAAGTTACCTTGAATAATCAATGGCTTGCCATAAGATGTGTCACAACTGACACTGCATTGAAACATACTAGCATCTCTGAATCATATGGTGGTGGATTGACGGATCCGTATTGAGTTACCACCATAGGAAAGGAAAGAAAGAAAACAAAGAATATAGTCCAGTCATTTTATGAATTGACCTTCAACTATTGCAACAAAAGCTTTCTCTTCAAAATATAGTCACTGATACCACCTCAATGAACATACTAAAAATCTTTTGCAATCGAAGTACGGAATATCTCAAAAAACCACTTGGTTTAAGGAAACGCTCTCGTGCAACATGAAAACGAGGCTCCAAACCGGAAGCGACTGTTTTTACCCTTGTAATTGTACCGTTATGATTGGATTTGTGCCAGAATACGTAAAAAGTTTAATATAAAGACAAAACACTTGCCTATAAGTCTTTTCGAACATATCCTTGTGACCAACTCGATGTTTAAGTCACCAATGTTCGGTTTTGGCCAAAAGTAAGTAGTGATTGTTTACAATAATCTGTAATAGATATTCTCTTTAATCATGTTCTTTACATTTCATCTTGCTTTAACTCGTTTGATGTAGCTTTCTTCAGTTTTTTTACTGATTACTACTATTAATATTCAACTACAATAATACACTACAATATTATTTCATGCTTCGTGGTTTTCTTTAATATAATACTAAAGAAATTACTAGATTATTCAGCTGTAATTGAATGCTATGCTATGTTCACAAAGTCGTTTGGTAGACTTAGCCTGCGTAGTCAAACACTTTTAAAGGGAAGGGGAATGGGGAGAGCTAGGGTGGAGGCGAGGAGAGGGTGAAGCATTTACAAGTATATATTCAATCAGACTTGACGCCTTGAATGTCGAGAAGGTGCTGGTTATAGTTACTCCAACAAGATCTAAGCACATGCTGCGGAGCACTCCAAGTTGTGTTTGTGGCAGGTGCATCTCTTGCTGCTACAGTCGGTTGTGCAGTTACATCTGATGACGCGTAATAATGACTCAGGTGGTGGAGATAAATCAGTAATGACAGGTGCTACATGGCCAGCATTTTCTTCCATCCCCATTCCGATAGTGCCATATTCCCGTTTTTACCTTTCCACTGTTGGACATGGAGGTATACTCTTAGGCTGCGGCATTTTGTACCTTCGGAAGTAGGAGGGAGGTTAAGAAGACGAATCTGTGAAGTATTATTCGCCAACTTTGCACTTGTATATACTCAGGTATTCAAGCTTCTCGCCAGGCTTTCCTTTGTGAAGGCATACCAGCGCGTCATGACCAGCTGTTGTAATCTCCTCTTTTGTTAAAGTTGATGAGTGAAAGATCTTTGCTTGCTCGCGAAAGTGTGGCGACTTCAGAAATATCTTGAGAGAAGCCCCCTTCCAGAAGCCATAAATGCGAGAGGTAGTATCGCAGCCGAGTATAGCGTGGATGAACAAAATATTCTTGCAGAAGTTCATGCCTATCTGGGCCTGTACCTTCTTGATGTTCCAAGAACGCCGCTTCGTAGAATTCGTCTTACAGTAGCAACACTAGCAAGTGAGTGTCACTTTGGAATTGCGGTGAAATGAGCAAACATTTTATGCTCTAATTTATTCATTTTGATTAACCATTCTTTCTTTTATTCTTGAACGTGGGAAGGAATTTTTATTTCATAAGAAAAAGAATCATAATCGTTCAAGCTATATTTTTATTTATAGTCATCTAGTATACTATCACAACGTCTTCAAACTTACGATTGCAGAGCATTATTTATTTTCATTTATTAATCAATAGACCTATCCCGAATTCGCTTGACTGGTCACGAAACAATGGTTTCAAGTCGAGGTTGAACTTGATGAATATAAGAATCAAGTCCAGTCTCGACTTCAAACCATTGTTTCGTGGTCAGTCAAGGGAGTTCGGGATAGGTCTTTTAAAGTACAACAACGAAAAAATATATTATTATCCTTATAAATATTCATATTAAAGTTGATACATAACATTGTCAAAAACTTTTTCAAAATTTATTGTTTAAATGACCCAGTATTCGGCTATTAACATTTTTTTTTTGATTTTTTTGATTTTTTTGATTTTTTTTTTTTTTTTTTTTTTTTTTTTTTTTTTTTTTTTTTCAATTGCTGAAGTTAATTTCCGTGGATTAATTTTGATATAGATTTGTAAAGCTTCTTTTTCATTGTCAAATAATTATATGATTGGTTTGCATTGTCACACTTTGAAAAAAAAAAAAAAGGAAAATGGAACCCATATCATTCTGAAACCTCACTCCCCATCATTTTTTCGTCTCTAGAGAGTAAATTAATTTTCTCTGTTTGTATCGTAAAATACAATTGAGCTTTATACTTACCTGACCTTGGTCTATTCGATGGCTTGATCTTGTTTTGGCGTA